GCAGCGTTGCTTCCAGGGCCAGATCCCCGTACGCTCGGCGTGCGCGCTTGATCGGTCAACAGCAATCCTGACCGCCGCCCTTCGCGAGAAGCTCTGATTTCAGGTTTGCTCTTGCCCACGATTGGGCTGCTCATGTTTGCTCTTGCCCTACAAAAGCATTGCCCTATCCCCCGTCGCCCCAGAAACACAGACCGCGTTCGCCGCTCAGCGAGCTTCAAGTATCCGCGCCCTCGCGGTCTGGACTCTGGGGCGCGACCCCGCGCACGCGCGGGATCGCGCGGATGCGCCCCGCGCGTGGCATCCGTGCGGAGACGCCCCGCATCCGCGTGGCCGCGCGGCCCGGGGGTTCGGCCCGCGGCCCGCGAGGCCGCGGCTCTGAGCAGATCCTCTTCGTCCACGGCCTGCCCAACCCCCCTCGTTGGGAAGCAGCTCATGCGAGGTCTTCGTACAGTCGGGGCGTTGACCTAAGGAACCCTAAATAAGGAACGGGGCCCTTTTTTCCATGAGTTAAACTTCGATTTCCGATCGAAGACATAAGGAAAACCTGAGGCAAGCTGCGAAACACTTACGGAACGCGGAGCCCCTCCCCAACGAGAAGGGTTCCTTCTTCAGCGCCCCGACTGTATTCTCTTCGTCCACGACCTGCCCCCCCTGCCCCCTCGTTGGGAACCAGCTCCTGCCAGGTCTTCGTGGGAGAGCCTCGGGGCCAAGTAGGCAGCCCGAAGACGGGCTGGATTGAGCCGAGCGGGCTGGATTGAGCCGAGTAGGCTGCCTGCCGACGCGGGCGGGCAGATATCCATATCCACCGCTCCTCGAAATCCCAGGGCACGACTCCGAAGCGGTGGACCCAGACCCCCGACGTCATGATTTTTTTGTATGACGCGACCCCAAAAGGTCTGGACCCATTCCCCGGGACGGGTTTTTCATCCTGGCTCGTTGTTGGGCGGTCCCTGAGAGCCCCTGGAGGCCGAAGGGAGCGAGAAACCTCCCGACGTGATTCTTTTCCAAGACTCGAGGGGGCCTGGGGAAGTGGACATCTCTCCTGCCGGTGGACCAAGATCTCAGGCTTCCCCTCCCCGGAGCTTCATGGCGAGCCGCCTCACGCCGCGCACGCCACTCACCGGCAGCGGCGGGTCCTGCGGCGGCCGCTGCGCGCAGGGGAGTGGGCCCCGGGGCCGGGGGCTGCCGAGGGTGCCCCTGGCCCAGGGTGCCCCCCAGCGAGTCGCTCAACTATCAAAACGTGGTTTGGTGAAGAAGACGACCTCGGGGCCCCGGAAAAGGACGGCCGCGGTGCCCTCTCGAGAGCCGCAAACGGCCGATGCACCAGTCGACGCGTCGGGCCTGGGGGAGGGTATGTGTGCTGCCCACCCCCGAGCAACGCTGGGAGCCCCTGGGTCCCTCTGGGACTTCTCGTGCGGGGCGCTCCGGAGGCCGTGGGGGCCTCCTTGGGATTCCCGGGGGCGCCTTGGGCCAGGGGCCACTTGCAGCGGCACCCGACGGGGGGCAGGGCAACACACACACCGCTGGTGCGGTGCGAGGCCTCCTTCGGGGTCGGGGGGGGGGCGGGGGGGCCACCCTGACGACCTGCCAGACCGCCCCCAGCCCCGCCGAAGACCCACATCTTCGGGTTGGGCTTGGGTGGGGTACCGTCGGGATGGATTGGGAGAGGACACGCGAGAGGACACGAGACCCCTCCGATGGCCACGCCGCCAGTGGAACGTAGGAGAGGGCATGGGCCGCGACAGACAGGACACAAGGGAAGCCTTGTTTGGGCAGGGGTGGACCTAAGAATCCAACTCGACGGCACGGGCTCCACCTGTGGGCGATGATCCAGCACGGGTCTTGCGCGAGATGACGTGGCGAGCACACGCGGCGGCTCGCGCGGGCCGCCGGCGCGGCACGCCGCAGTGGAGACGAGGGCGCCTGCGCGCGACTCCACGCGGGCACCCGACGCCACGGTGTCGGCGCAGACGACCCCCGTGCCGTTTGCGCCGCTCACACGTTTGTTTTTTGTTTGTACATATATATATATATATATGTATATGTATATATCCTTATATAAATCATTATATATATATATATATGTATATGTTCCCCCCCCCCCGGTGCTCCCCGATGCACCCCCCCCCACCGGAAGTGGAGGGCAGCTCGGGGCCTCCGGGTCGGCGTGGGGTGCTCGGGCGGGGCGGCGGCCCACGCCCGAGCGCGCGGGCCGCCGCTGCCGCCCCGCAGGCGGCGAGCGGGGGGCCCCACCGGGCCGGCACCAAAAAGGGGGGGACCACGCGCGCGGGCCCGACCGCACCACCCTGCGATTTCCGATGGGGGGGGGAGGGAGGAGGTGGGGGTCACCACGCTCGGGGCCCCCCGAGCGAAGTGCACCCCGCCTGCCCCCTTCGCCCCCCTCTGGGCATCGCGAGGCGGTGGCGTATGTAGGGCTCGCGTGCGGCCACGGGGGAGGGGCCCCACGCCCGAGCGCGCAGGCCGCCGCCGTCGCCTCGCCGTCGGCGAGCGGGAACCCCAACGGGCCATCACCAGGGGCCCCTCTGGCAGCACGCCGCTCTTTGCGTGCTCTGGGCAGGGGCAGAGGCCGTCCCGGCACTCCTGTAAGTAGGCCTGCCGCGACGTGCTCTCAGAACCAAGGAAGCCCCTGATAGATGGCAGAGGCAATGCTCGTATGCATCGGAGAGCGGACGTGCGTGCTCGAACAGGACGGCGGCAGCCAGAAGTGCTCTGACGCAACACTTCGTGCAAGCCACGAACAGTTATTGAGGCCTTCCTGGTGGGCCCACTATAGAAGCATCCCAACTGGGGTCCGAGTAGGTGGGGTCGGAGGATCGCGCCGCATCGACGATGCATCGGCGATGTCGGTGATGCGTCGGCGATGTCGGCGTGGAGGAGATCTGGCTCCACGTCGAGCCACATCGCCGATGCATCGGCGATGTCGGCGCGATCCTCCGAACCCACCTGCTCGGACGCCATCTGGGAGGCCTAACTAGATCCTCGCGGCGAGCCCGGGGGAAATGAGAAGGGGCAGGCCTTCGCAGAAGGCTTGGAAGTCCCCCGGCCTCCTGAGAAGTTTCCCGAGCCTCCCTCAACAGCGCAACAAAGCCTCTCTTGAGAAGTCCCTCCACCTTCTGAGGAAGGCCTTCTCCTTCTCGCTGCCCCCCCTCACCGCCGACATCTACTCGGACCCCGTCTGCGAGGCCTAGATCAGATACAAGAAAGGGACAAACACCGCATAACCAGAAACCTACAGTGGAGGCTAGTCCACAAGAAACCTGTCACAAGAAACCCAACCCTGAAACCCTAGGACGTCCATTGTTTTTTGTTGTGGGAACGTCGCGCTGTCCATCGCAAAAACCATCGAAACCCAAGAAACCCAGGGCACCCTGGAGGCAAGCAGGGTGTTTCTTGGCATGGGTCTCCACTGTATGGGGCTCCGCGCGGATTTCTTGGATCTGCGCTGGGCCCCCCTCTCTGGCGCGTGGAGCGCGCCAGGGGCGGCGCTGCAGGCGCGCCGCCCAGGGGGCCCAGCGCCGATCCTGGAAATCCGCGCGGAGCTCCAAAAGTTTGAGTCTGTGCAGTTTGCTTCGTCTTCGAAGGCAAGCCATCTGCGATGCATAGATCATCTGTGAGCTCAAATCTAGCGAAAAGCATTGCAACATCGTGCGATATCGCGCCCAGAGCCCTAGACCCCATCTTTCTGCCTCATTTGTCGAGCCGCATCGATCTGTGCGGGTCCCGGGGGGGGGGCAACAAAAAAGGCGACCACGCCCGTCGTGAAGAAAAACTGCAACGCCAGGATCCCAGGGTACTCCAAATCCCTTATTAATCGTCCCCAGGGTATGGTTTTTCAAGGCGCCTTTTTTGTACCAGAGGGGGTCCGGTTTATTAGGGCGCTTTCTTTGGATTGGAGCTTAGGGGGTCCGGTCTGTTAAGTCGCCCCGCCGAAAAGGGGCTCGGGAACATGAGGTCGCATTTGGAGGGGGCTCCGGCCTTTTCGGGCGAGGTCGATCAGTAAGTGATTTGGCGTAGATCATGGGCAAGCCAAGACTTTGGACGCCCGAAATTGGTACCGAAAAAAGGGGTACAATGCCCAACAGCAAATGTTGTCCCAAACCAACAGCGGCCGCTGTTGGGCAGGCGGCCTCCTGTCTCGAATGGACACTGGCCCTGTTCAAAATGAACAGGAACTGCTGTTGGGCATTGTACCCATTCTTTCCGTGCCCATCTTGTATCGTCGGAGATCTCGAGGTCCCCCAGCCCAGGCTGCACGCGCGGCCCCCTCCTGCAGTCGACGCGCTGCCAGAAGGAACGCCACACACCAGGAGCGAAGGGACCCCTTCTTTCCGTACCCACTTCGGGCGTGCACAGAAAGACGCCTCGCCGCTGCTTTGCGCTGCAGCCGATCCGGCTCCGCCGCGGCCGCGGGCAGCGCGGGCTCCGGCGCGGGCTCCGGCGCGGGCTCCGGCGCGGGCGGCGCGGGCGCGGGCGGCTCCGCCGAGGGCGCGCCGCGGCGGCCCCGCCTCGTGCACTGCTCCAGGTACCTTGGAGGGGCCCTGGGACACGCAGAGCAAAGAAAGACACACACAGACAACAGGATTCCCCAGATGTCCCTATATTTTCTAGGCTTTTGTCCTTCCCCCCCCCCCACCTCCCATATTTCCCCATATTCTCCAGGGAATCGACGATTCAGTGTTCTTTCCTTCCTGATACCTGGAAGGCCCAGGCAGGAGGTCCCCAAGAAGCGACGAAAGGAGAGGGGCGCCCAGGGAGAGATCCCTGGCGACTCAATGTTTGTCGGGCCAAGCGTGTTCGCATTCTTTCGGGCCCCGGGGCCCGCCCAGATCGATGCGGCTCGAAAGATGACAAACGTCGTCGCAATTCGGCGTCGCTGGACTGGTCCTCATCTGACCCAACATGTCCGCGCGACATTCTGAAACGGTATGTTACGCAATGATCAGCTATTCGACTTCTTCGTCATATTCTTCGCCGGGTACCGCACGTAGCCCCGCGCTGGCGTGCGGCACCACGGGACGCTGGCCCTCAGCGTGGCGCGGAACGCATGCTCCCGGAGCTCCGAGAGCAGCCTGTCGGTTCGGACGAGCCCCGACATCCTCGCGTCGTGACGACAATTACGGCCAGATCAAGGTGGATGGCTTTGCTGCGAGCGATCCACACCCGAGAACATGAGTAACGAGGCGGAATATTCCCAGGAACCACAATGCCACTTGGGGCCTGGCGGTCGCGCCATGCTATCGATATTCGTCGAAGACGCGAGGCGGGATCGGGGATCACCCAGAGAGCACCAGCACACCTTGGGCCTGGCGGCCATGGTATGCAGGGTGTTCGAGGCGGGTCGGGACCCTTGCAACCCCAACATGTCGGGTGTCGGGTGGGGAGAAAGCTGTTCGCGGGAAGAGGCCAAGACCTCTGGGGAGCAATGCCGCGAAACAGTCACGACGCTGGATCTCGGGGGAAGGGGGCACTTGTGAGCGGGGAGTTCGCCTGCCAGACCACCCAGCTCTGGCTTTCCACTGGCGCCTCCCAGCGCCCGAGACGCCCATGAATCGGGGAAAGCACCCGGAGCGGGCTGAAAACCAGGCGCGAGCAGAGGATGACGTACTACCCCCCCTGACCTCCAGGAGGGCTACAAAAAAACATCAGCACGTCGACGTCCTAATTCCTGTCGGGTTTTGAGGCAGTCCAGATAGATTTATAGGTCTGGAGTGCTATTGTTTAGCACTCTGGAAGGTCAGGGTGTCCCCCCAAAACTGTTCGTCCGCCCCGATCGTCGTCCTCTGGCTGTCGGGTCATGGCCCCCGGGCCCAATAACGGGAACAAGAAGCCGAAATCTAAGAAACACCCAGGTTGAAATAATCATGTCGTTAGAAATCTTAGGAGGCAACTTGATTAGGGCGGACTATCCCATGTTGAACCCAATATTGACTGGGATCATAAGCCGCACTGAACGGGATGAAACGGAACTAAACGGGATGATGCTGGCTTCCCGCAACGGATATACCAGCGCCATCGCTGAATTCTTAACGCTACGTGTACCTCCATGCGATGCCCAGCGGAGCTTCCCTGAAATCTTGTCTTGCAGCCTCTTGTCGGCGCCTGGGAGGCATCTTGGAGCGTCTTGGAAGCCTCTGGGAGGCCTTTTGACGTCTCTTCGGGGCCATGTGGGCTTCTTCGGGGCCTCTTGGGGCCCTTCTGAAGCTCTCTTCGAGGCTTTTCGACCCATCTCGGGGCCACATTGAAGGGTGTCGATCAAGAAAGGGGGGGCCCTCATTCTCTAATTAGCCTTGCCCCCCCAGGAGGTCAAAATGGAAGCAAAACCGATGACCGATCAATTGTGTGTGCTTTCCCGCTGGGGCCATTTTGGGCGCCCTGACCGCTCGCGACCCTATCCCGTCCATACCCAAGGGGAGGGGGAAGGGGGAGGGGTAAACCCTTCCGCGAGGGGGAAGAAGGCCGTTGGAAGAGCAAACGCCCTAAACCGCCTACGCCCGAAAGGGCTGGGGCGCCGTGGCTGCGACACTGCAGGGCCCCTGGAAATCTCGACGCCTTCCAGGGGACGAACTCTTCATCCCGACGCGTTCTTGACAGCCCCCGGGGCCCGGCGAGGGCCTCCATCGAGAGGCCGACATCGGCGGCACATTTCGGCACCGATGCTTCTTCAGTGCGTTCGAGGCGTGCGCAGGAGCACGCCTCCTGTGGCGGCACGCAACAGGGAGGGTAGGCGGAGGGGGGGGCAACTTCCTAGACATACAGCAGGGGCGTTGACCTGAGGAACGATAAATTAGGAATGAGGCCCTTTTTCCTTAAGTTTAACTTCGAATTCCGATCGAAAACCAAAGGTGAACCTAAGGCAGACAGTAACACCCCTAAGGAACAGGGAGCCCCTCCCAAACGAGAAGGGTTCCTTCTTCAACGCCCCGACTGTAGTCTGCATCTTAGAAGACACCGGCCTTACCTCTGCAGCCGAGGCCCGCGCCTCACCGCCTTCCCCCCCCTGCCGCGTGGCAGCCTGCTGTAGGAGATCGTCGGCGATCTCGCTTTCGCCCGGCCCAGGCTTCACGCGTGGCAAACTCCTGGCATTTAATTGTTCATAGAAAAACGCGACCTACTGCCTTCAAAAAGTGTCCTCTCAAGCTCAGTCCGTGGCCTTCGTCGCGATCATCACCGCGACCTGACGCCTTCAAAGAATGCCCAATGCCTTCAAAAAATGCCTTCACAGGGCGAACTCCTGGCACATGTATATATATATATACAGATATATATAGATATATTGGACGCCCGAAATGGGCACGGAAAGAATGGGTACAATGCCCAACAACAAATGCTGTCCCAGACCAACAGCGGCCGCTGTTGAGCAGGTGGCCTTCTGTCTCGAACGGACACAGGCCGCGGCGGCGCGGACAGCGAGTCCTGCTCAAAATGAACAGGAACTGCTGTTGGGCATTGTACCCAGTCTTTCCGTACCCATGACGTTCGTGCCCATCTATGTATCGCCGGAGATCTCGAGGTCCCCCAGCCCAGGCTGCACGCGCGGCCCCCTCCTGCAGTCGACGCGCTGCCAGAAGGAACGCCACACACCAGGAGCGAAGGGGCTCCTCGGGGCACGGCGAGCCTCGGTCACCGCATCGCATCGGAGGCATCGGAATGAGCCCCGGCCCGGGCCTGGCGGCGTGGCCCGACGGCGGCTCGCCGGGGCCGCCGCGCCGCAGGGCCGCCTCCGCGCCGCACAGCTCCGCGGGCGGCAGGCCCCGCAGGCGGCCCGCCACGGCCGCGAAGCCCGCCGCGGCGTCCGCGTGGCCCTCGGCCGCCAGCAGGATGGCGATCTGGGTGCGCACGCTCTGGACCTCGCTCGCGCAGGACGAGGCCTCCTCCTCCTCCTCCTCCTCCTCCTCCTCCTCCTCCTCCTCCTCCTCCTCCTCCTCCTCCTCCTCCTCCTCTCAGTAAGACGAAGCCAATGCGAGGCCAAATCCGAGTGCGGAACATAAATCGAGGATGTCGAAGGTCCGGCGGCTCTGGAGGATGTCCCGGGCGCCGCGGCCTCCTCAGAGCGCTCCTGAACGCTCTGGTAGCGTTCTGGAACGCCCTGGAACGGATTTGGCCTCGTCCTAGCCCCGTCCGATCGTACCAAGTCTATGTTTTGAACAACGGATGGAATACAAACTTCGAAGACCTAATCTGCCTGATCATGAGGCCGGGTAAGGAACCGTGCGCTCGTACCAATGGAAGCCTTCTATCTGGGGTCCGAATACAATCAAGACGCTGACATAAGGAAGCCTTGACCAGAAACGAGGCCCCTGTCTCCAGAAGTTAAGCTTCGATCCCCCATCGAGAACCTAAGGACAACGTAAGACAAACTCTAAAACTGTTGAGGGAGACGGAGCCGCTTCCCAACGAACAAGGTTCCGTATACTGTAGGTCGCAGAATCCTGCCGCATCGCCGATGCATCGGCGATGCGGCTGCATGTGGAGCCCGACTTTCTTCATGCCGACGTCGCCGATGCAGAGGCGATGCGGCGCGATTCTTCGACCACATCTGCTCGGACCCCATCCAGGAGACCTAAACCAAGTCTATGCTTAAAACAACGGATTGGACACATGTTGTTTCGAAGACCTAGTCTGCTTGATCGTGAAGCCGGAATAGTAACTGTGCAGCGAAACGGGCCAAACACGGTTCAAGACCTGGGAGGCCTTGGGATCCGAAGGGCACTCCGAACTGGTTCGTCGTCGTCGTCGTCATCGTCGTCGTCGTCGTCCGTCGTCCGTCGTCCGTCGTCCTCGTCGTCGTCGTCGTCATCCGTCGTCGTCGTCGTCGTCGTTTTCGTCGTCGTCGTCGTTTCCACCGTCGTCTTCGTCGCCGTTTTCGTCGTCGGTTTCGTCGTCTGTTTCATCGTCTGTTTCGTCGTCGTCGCGGTCGTGGTCTTCGGCGTCGTCGTTTTCGTCGTTTTCGTCGTCGTCGCTTTCGTCGTCGTCTTCGTCGTCGGTTTCGTCGTTCGTTTCGTCATCCGTTTCGTCGTCGTCGTCGTCGTCGTCGTCGTCCTGGGTTTCCAGGGGCGCCCAGACCTCGCCGATGCGAGCGAGGGCCCGCCGCGCGGCCTCGGAGACGTCCCCGGGCGACCGGAAGAGCAACTGCACGTCGCACGGCCTGGGAGGGGCTCGATCTATGTTGCTCCCATCGCGCTTAAAGACCACATCCCGGAAATCAGGTCGATCACACGGAAAAGTGTCGAAAGAGTGCCGAAACAGTGTCGGACGAGTGTCTCCCAGGGCCTGGCACGTTGGAACCCTCGAGTTTCGTTTTTTGCTGATGCTCGGAATTCGTTCTGGTGATCAAGGCTAAAGTAGGTTGGAACATCATGAGACTCGACGTGCACACCGCGTCGTCTAGTCGGCCAGGACCCTCGGTGTATATAGCAACAAAATCATAGAAAACAAGCACGTTCCGGAGTTCTGCGCGGAGTTCTGGGATCTTGGCTGGCCCCCCTCCCCGGCGCCGCCCGGGGGGCCCAACGCCGATCCCAATCCCAGAGGCCGCGCGGGGCTCGGAAAGGTTATCCTCATTGTTTCTCTTCGACTCTGCCCCAGTTCAGCAACCACGAGTGGGCCCTGCCCCTGCAGATCAGAATTCTGAACCGCCGCCGGGGGGGTCAGCATTCGAGGGACAGCCGCAGGCAAGTGAGCCCCAGCGGGGGCGTCCCATATCCCAGCGCTGACTGGACCCGCAAGGGTGGGACTCGCAGGTGGTCGAAGACCACACCCCAACCTATGGGGCGATGTCTACACACCGAATCCCTCCACTGAGCTCCGGCTCTCTGGCTGGCCAAACAGCGCGGTGTATACGTGGAGTCCCTCTGGCGGCACGGCCTCAGCCGCGCCCAGCTCCCGTCGAGGCGGCCGAGCGCGTCGAGCGACAGCCGCGCCAGCGCGGCACTGGAGCCTGAGGACTGAGGACGCAGCGAGATGTGCCGATACCCGTCGGTCGGCAGAGGTGGGTCGATTGTTACACGAGAGGCGTCCATGCACCGCACCGTGTCTGGAGTTCCTTCTTTCTGGCCCCGCTCCGACGCGGCAAGGTGCATACTCTTAGGCCCTGAGGGCCGAACAGAGACAACGAACCGTACCATTCCTGGGTCGAGGATCGACGGCGCCCCGAGAGACGCCAACGCGGTGCGATGCACATCAATCGTCCGAGGAGACTAAGTTTCCGCCCGCCCAAAAAACAATAACTAAACACGAGGGAAAGCCACTCGATGCTCGAAACAGGAAAGCGCCTAAACTGGATTGGGATTCAAGGCCCTCCAAAAAACAGACGTTCAACTACCGATAGGAACCCCTACTGAACGGCTTTCTACCAGTTCGAAACAACTGCTGAGAGGTATTCGTGCGAACGCTGAACTGACATTGAGCACAAGCAAGAACAAATCACCCAAATTACTGTAGCCGGATTCACCAGGACAGTGCAGGACTTGGCCTGGTTGCGGCCGAAGATCTGCCAACGCCCATGCTTAATTAAACCCACATGGTCTCGAGGCGAATCCAGCGAGGGAAAAGAAACAGTATGGGTGGCATGAAAGGCGGCTCCTGAAGGAAACGGGTCCTGGACCCCGGGACTTCCCCCAACGACCTGCCCCAGCGACCTGGAGGCTGGGGAACGGGCAAACCTCAGGACACGGTGCCCTCAGAACCCGCCCGCTTCATGGCCACATCGGTTCGTTTCCTCCAGCACCAACCGTCCCGACCACCTCTTCAGGGTTGGTCTTCCGTCGCGGATTTGTTCCTGACGGCCCTGGGACCCAGTCGCGGGCCCCCGAGGCCGAACGAAGGACTGGGACACTCACATCGTCGGACCCCCAACTCCGAAAAACTTCCGTGTTTCAAGACGGCGCCCTCCGAAGTCTCGGACACCCTCCCAAGGATCGGCTCGTCGTCCCAAGTCGTTCGTTGACGGTCCAAGGACCCGGCAAAGTGCCACAGAGGCCCGAACATGTAAGAAAGAACACCTCATCTAGAGTCCTTCGCGGCGCGACGATTTCAAAGGGCAACGATATGGACAGTTTCAGGTCGGGCGTGTCCTCCTACAGGCGGAATTTGGAGGAAGCATCACACATAATCCAAACATGCAGAAACAGAATTGTCCCCATACTATTGTTTGACTACCTTTGACTCTTCCTCCTGTCGAGGGACATGCCCGACGCAAGGGTACCTACCTGCCGTGGTCGGCGCAAGGCCCGGGCCAGCCGCGGCCGCGCCGCGAGCCCGGGCCGCCCGCGAGCACTGTTTTTGCTCTTAGAAACTCAAAATGCTCTAAGAGCACAAAACAGTGCTCTTAGAACATAAGCTCCATGTGTTAAAACAAGACAGCCCCAGCAAGAGATGTTCTAAGAACATTTCGTGGAAACCACAGAAGTTGCTCAGAACATTATTTGGTAAGCCTGCAGGCACGCCAGGACGCTTCGCCACTGCTTGAGGCTTTTCATCCGGAGCCGCTTTTTGACGGCCCCTGGAGCCTGGCGAGTGCCCATAATAAGGACCGAACACTTGGAAAAACCTCCCGTCGTGATTCTTGTCATTCCTCGAGCGGGTCTGGGCTCGGGCCCCGACGCCCTCGGGGACCTTCTGACCCGGGTCATATCCAGACCCGGGTCAGCAGGAAAACAAAAAACTGCAGTGCAGGAACAGAAACACTGCAACAACGCAGGTCTTCGCAAACCCGGGTCAGCCAACTGGCGCGGCCGCCTCGCGGCCACGAGCGGCTCGCTGACCCGGGTCAGCCAGAAGGGGTCTTCGCAGGCTCCTGCAGGATCCGGTGCCCTGGCTGAACCCCGTCTGCATTGACCCCCGCCCGTCTCAAGGCTCCCGACGCCCTTGGGCGTGGCTCGATGGTGGGGTCATCAATGGGGGGGTTAGAAACGGTCTCATTTCGTGCCCCTTTCGGGCCCCTCCGGAGCCCCAGGGGGCTCGTTCAGGTACCGTTTGGGTCCCTTTTCGGACCACCCTCGCCACCCCCCTATTTATGACCCCTCCATTACGCAACGCCCAGCGCCCCGCGGGGCAGCGGGGTTGAAGGCTTTCCGTGCTGGTAAACACCTCTGGAATGCGGGGCGGAGATCTACGCTCTTTCACCCTCGGGGGGGGGCACAAGCCCGGCGCCCAAAAGGTGCATTGGCAAAACAAATGTCAGGTCAGAAGCCGCCGCCCCTTCCTCCCCAGACCCCCGACGTCATGATTTTTTCATGACGCGACCCCCAGAGGTCTGGACCGATTCCCCGGGACTGGTTTTTCATCCTGAGTCGTTTTTTGACGGTCCTGAGGGCCGGTAAGGGCCCCCGGAGGCCGACAATAGCGAAAAACCTGCCGTCGTGATTTTTTCATGACTCGAGGGGGTCTGGGTCCCCCGAGCGCCGGGGGCGGCCGCGGCGCTGGACGCCGCCAGGAAGCAGGCGCAGAGCGCGGGCGGGGGCACTTCCGCCGCGGGCCGCCCGAGCAGCTCGGCGGCCAGGCCCTCGGACGGGGGCGCGCCGCTCCGCCGCAGGGGGGGCGGGGGCGGGAGGCGCTCGAAGCAGGCGAGGCCTCCTCGTCCTCCTCGTCCTCCTCGTCCTCCATCATCCTCCCTCCTCCTCCTCCTCCTCCTCCTCCTCCTCCTCGTCCTCCTCCTCCTCCTCCTCCTCCTTCTCCTCCTCCTCCTCCTCCATTCCTTCTCCTCCATTCCTTCTCCTTATAGATCACTTCTCCCTGTCGCACCCCGAGGCCAGCTTTTAGGGCGGGCGCGGGCGCTTCGCCTGAGACTTCCTCACCACTTATGACTCTGAAGCTTAAATGACAACAGTTCCACTGATGGAGGGCAGGTGGATTTCAAAATGTGGCTCTCGCCTCAGCGCCGCGCACAGTCGTTTTCAGAATTCGCAAGATCTTCACGGATTGGGGGCGAATCGTTTCCAAAATATGGCTCTCGCCTTAGCGCCACGAACACTCGTTTTAAATATTTGCAAAAGTGTCACGGAATGAGGGCTGGTCGTTTTCAAAATGTGGCTCTCGCCTCAACGCCGCGCACATTCGTTTTCCAAGTTTGCAAGAGCTTCGCGGGTTGAGGGCGGTTCCTTTTCACAAGGTGGTTCTCGCCTTAGCGCCGCGCACATTCGTTTTCAAACTTTGCAAGAGCTTCGCGGATTGAAGATTACCCGTTTTCAAAACATGGCTCTCGCCTTAGCGCCGCTAGCATCAGTTTTCAATTTCAACTTTGCCAGAGTTTTACGGGTTCCCATGACCAACATAGCAGAAAACATATGTAGCAACAATTCAGGATTATGCGGGTGCTACAGTCGTGTTAATTCGCTGTGTTGAAATCAAGGAAAAGGCGTTATGGCACTATTCCAGATCGTCAAGACGCAGCAGCCAAGTTGATCCGTGGTGTTGACCTCCCGAGAACAATGTTCTGGCATGCTTCAGGATCTACAAACGGTTGTCGTCCAACGAGGCAATTCCCTCAATGGAAATGAACCGTTGTAGGGGCCTATGAAGAGGGAGCTTGGAGGAAGGGTGAACTCCAACATCGTTAATGACTCTTGGGTTTACACTGGTCCTCCTCCTCCTCCTCCTCCTCCTCCTCCTCCTCCCTCCTCCCTCCTCCCTCCTCCCTTCTCCTCCTCCTCCACCTCCGCCTCCGCCTCCGCCTCCTCCTCCTCCTTCTCCTCCTCCCTGGGAGGCGGGGACTCGGCGGCGAGCAAGGGGGGAAAGGAAAAGGAGAGCGCCCAGACATGATCGCGCTGTAAAAAAATCAGGACGGGAGCCTTTGGGCCGTTTTCGGCTCCTGTGGGCCCTCGCCGGGCCTAGGGACCGTCAAAAACGACTCAGGATGAAAAACCGGTCCTGGGGAAAGGGTCGGGACTTCTGGAGGCCCCGTTTTTTGAAAACAAAAAAATCAGGACGCCGCATGTATGAGTGCGCTCACCACACTTGGCAAGCGGAGCAGCAAGCATGCCGAGCCACGTGGATCTCGGGAGGCCAGTGGACGGGCAGGGAGATGAGTCGGCGGTGGGCAAACCTCCCTTTAGTAAACCTCTCTTTAGTGAAGACGGCCTAGGACCGAAACCGACGGACCTGGACCCGCAAAAGCGACGGCCGTGACGCCCTCTCGCGAACCGAAAACGGCCACTTCGCTGATCGACGTGTCAGGGCAGGAGGCCTATCAACCTCCGAATCAGAGGGGGGGAGCGAGAAGGAGAGGGGAGGGGGGGGGGGCCGTGCGCCGCCGCCGACTCTTGGGGAGACCAACAGGTGCCCTTAGGTCGGGCGTGTCCCCCTACAGGCGGATTGTGCACGAAAAACAATACACACCCAAAACATACAACCAAAATAATCAAACATGACCAACAAGTCGTCCCCAGACTTTGTTGGGACTGTGTTTGAAGATTCCCCCTGTAGAGGGACAAGCACTACTGAAAGGTACCCATAAACCGCTGCCTCCCGTACCTCGCCCAGGGCGCCGTCTGACCAGCATCTCGAGGCGAATCAAAGGTCGGCGGCGAACCCGAGGGGGAAAGACCATGGTGCACCTTCCAGCCCCCTGCACTAGGCCCCCCCGAAGGCCCCTTTCCTCCCACCATCTACTCCCCCTCTCTCCGCGGGCACCAAGCGTGTCCACACCCTCGCCCGCGCGGTCTGGATTCGGGGGCGCGATCGCGCGGATACGTGGCCGAGATTCATGGACACCTTCCGCGGCGCGGGGCATCCGCGAATCAACCGCCCCGTCTGTGGAGCTGCGGCCCGACGGACCGGCCCGCGAGGGGGAAACCAAAAAAGGTCCCGCTGCCGCTACCTCCGGGTCCTCTCCCAGGGTGCGCTGTGACCAGGTTCTCGAAGCGAATCCAGCGCTGGCGACGAGGGCCTCCCAAAAGGCCCAACAGAAGGGAAAACGAGGGGAGGGCACCGGTATGGGTACCTGGTCCTCCTCTGATTGGGTATGTCTCCCGCCGACGACACTGACCGCCCCCCCATCACGAGACGCTCGGCCTCGATCGCCGAGCAGAGGCGCGACGGGTCGAGGGCTCCCGGCGCGCCGGCCACCGCCAGGGGCAGGTCGTGGAGCAGGAGCAGCCAGCCCTCGACGGCCTCGCGGGAGGAACCCAATGGGGGGACGAGGGCCGAGGGCAG